TGTCCACCTCCAGAAGCCGACCAGTTTGCTCAGCTGCATGCGGAGGTGGATTTTCTCCTCCAGGATCTCCATGAACTCCCAGAAGAGGGGGGGTTTGATGTGATAGGTGCGCAGCTCGTACACCTTGGGTTGGCTGTCCCCACTGTCACACAGAGGGGCTGAGGTGGAGAATCCAGATGCAGAGACAGGAAGAGATCGGTTCACCTGGGGGCAAGGTGTGGGGGATGAGGTGGTTCACAAAATTTTACGCAGTATGAAAGCCCAGTGTCAAAGATGTAGGCCCCCGAAAGTTAACTAAAACATGTGAGACCACAATGTTACATGTTTGTTTATGTCTTCGGGGGCTTAAGCTTCAACTTTCACATATGACCCACCAAATGAATGCATCTTCTGTATGAAAAAGTTTTCTTTTGATATGCCTGTAGTCGTGATTCTCTGAAGTTACAGATACAGATACAGATACAGAAGTTAGTTATTTTCACAGCGCAATGTAACACAAATCAAGGAAAATCACACAATGAAGACAACTTGCAAATAGTGTAGCCAGTCAGATTGCAACTAATGACGTGTTTACAAAATTGTATGGTTTTACTATACAATTTTGCAACTTGCCATGTTTACAAAATTGTAGAGTTAAACTATACAATTTTGTAAACATGACAAGTTGCAATTCTGACTGGCTAGGAGTATATGTGTCACCTTGCGACCTCTCTATTTTGTGTTTGTACACGTCATATGTGTTAGTGTGTGTCACAGTGTTTACAAGTGTGTGTGTGTTGAGTGTTTGTTTCGGGAAAGGGTGGGGGGCATTTGTTGCAGGTCCCTGCCATTTGACCCTATTATGACCGTGTCAGCTCAAGGGTAGCTCATTACACAGTACAACTGCAGTATTAAGTATTACAGTCGGTCCGGCCGCAATTGTAAATGACCCTGGACGTGATGCCCCAGTCTGGGGCCTTGTCCAGTACAACATATAGATAGATAGATAGATATATTTTCGACATCGAAGCAGAACACCGGTGCCCCCCTCCCCCTTTTCAACTTCCGCGTTTCCAATATGATGCGACAGGCAGCCAAAAGTATTCAATATTTGACCTTACCTGGCCTCTCAGGAACTGCAGTCCAAACGACGCCTGCCTAGCATGCCTCAGCATCGCGACGCGCATTTTGTACAGGAAAATCTCCCCTTGTTTTATCAAAACAGTCTATATATATAAAAGGCCGCCGCTCGTGGCTGACTGAACAGCCGACCCAGGTTGACCTTCAGCTGTTCAGTCACGGGGTCATGTTTACCGATACTATAAAATGATAGACACTGTTTGAGCTTCACTCTTGATGTCGTCACACAAAGCTTCCCGAAATTATCTCTATTTTTATGTCTGAGTGGGTCATGCACTGTCTTCTAATCTGTTGCTGATTGGACGCGGTGGGGGGGTGTCCTCATTTTGATTGGTTTGTGAGGTAAAGGCGGGAAATTCAAATTATTTTCCGGGAAAGCAGAGTAACGGTATATGTAAGTCATGTAAACCAAGGAGGTTCAATCTCATTGCTGTAACTAAGCATTAATCACACCTGAACAGTGTTTGTTTGAAACATTTATTGAACATTTATTACGTCGCATCAACTTACACGCTTCATACATATTCAAGCCTTGACAATCTTTTTTTTCACCTTCCTCTTATCAAATATTGAAACTTCATGCTCGAAGGCTAATCTTGTATGTGTAGTGTCAAGTAAATCAGGAAAAAGAACAGAGAACATACAACAACTGACTGATCAACTTATATTACTACTTCTACTACATTTGCCTTTATGACGTTTGCCCTCTTTAAAGTCAGTGGAAACACACACACACACACACACACACACACACACCACCGCACACACACACCACACCGCACACACACACACACACCACACCGCACACACACACACACACCACACCGCACACACACACACA